AGAGCCAGAAAAACTCAAAATAAGGCAGCAACCTCTCTCCTGGTCATAGATGTAAATTCTTTTATGAATGACTTGATGATTGATTTAATGTTTGAGATAGAGTCTTGCTATTTAAGCTAGCCTTTTATGTGATCTTCCTGCTTTCTCCTCCTGAATGCTGAAATGACATGCATGTGCTCACCAAGCCCAATCTCACGCATTTATTGTCTGCTTGTACTTTACCATTTGAGAATTCCATGTTCATTTCCCCAGGAATTGATTGGACTGTTTGCTCTGATATGTTTAACTTTTTGAGTTCTTTATGTATTCTGCATATTAATCCTCTATCAAGAAATAGTTGATAAACATTTTCTCCCATTCCACAGGCTATTGTTGTGAAATATTATTTTAAGGTGTATTACATTTCTTCATACTGCTTTTATTTACAATGTAAAAAATGTTCCATTTGTTTGATTAAATAAAATTAATCTGTGGTCAGGAGGTGGCATCAGAAACTAGCTAACAGGAAGTGGTAGGGAGGAACCAGGTGTAGCCAGTGTTCTTAAGTGGGAGCGGTGAACTACTTACCATTCTGCCTCTCTGAGCTAGCAGAATTTCACCTCAACCTTTGAATCCTGAGTTCTGTAGAGGAGTAGAGATCTAGACAAAGTTTCCCTTAATGGCTTTGAGAGAGCAATGCATGAGGGAACAGAATTCCTGCTAGCTGCGGCCCTTATGGCCTCACTGATGCTGTTAGCAGCGGTGTTGCAGTTGCTGAATAGGACAGCAGTTGCTTAGGGGCAGCCACGGAATTGGGTGAAAAACAACAATTTATTCTCATTGTTAACTATTGCCTTTTCTGGGAAGGAGTTTTAAATTTTGTGTGATCCCATATGTCAATTCTTGTTAATATGTCCTGGGCTAATGGTGTCATTTTGAGGAAGTCATTGCCTATGTCTGTAGCTTGCCTATGCTTTTGTCTGGCAGTTTCAGGGTCCATCTTATATTAAGGTCATTGATCCATTTCTACAGCAAGCAAAGACTCTAGCTTTATTCTCCTACAAGTGGAATATTCAGGACACGAAAATTGGAGAGTTAAATAGGGGAGAGACTCCAGAGAAGTTTGAGGCAGGGAATGAAAGGTAGATATGATCAAAATAAAAATACATTTATAAGTGAAGGGGCAAAAGTCTATCTTTTCTTGAACAGATGTATTTGGCACTTCTGTTGAGAAGCAGTTTACAATAGCTCTGTGAGTTTGTATCAGTGGTGTTGCATTTTATTACATTGGGCCAATGACTGGTTTTGTGCCAATCCCATGGTGTTTTTGTTATTATGGCTCGGTAGTGTGTCATTTGTGATAGCCCTAATATTGCTGTTTTTTTTCAGGATTGCTTGAGTGATTCGGAATCTTTTGTGCTTCCATGTGAATTTAAATTTGTTTTTTCTATTTCTGTGAAAATACTATTAGTATTTTGGTAATTACCTTCAATCTGTCAATTGCTTTCAGTGATGTGACATTTTTAACTATATTAACTTTTCTGACCCATGAATATGAAAAGTCCAATTTTTAGTGTCTTCATCTTCTTCAGTTTAGTGATTTTCATTGTTAAGGTCTTTCACCTTCTTGGTTATCTTATTTGTGTGTGTGTGTGTGTGTGTGTGTGTGTGTGTGTGTTTGTGTACAGTATGTGTAGAGGCCAGAGGAGCATATCTGGCATCTAACTCTATCATTTTTCTACCTTAGTCTGTTAATACAGGGTCTCTCACTGATATGGAGGCTTACAATTTCAGCTAGGCTGATTGGTCAGTAAGCTACTGGGATCTTCCTGTGTCTAGCACACAGTTCTGGGGTTACAGGCATGCATAACCATGTCTGGCTTTTAATGTGGGTGCTGGGGATTCAAACTCTGGTCCTCATGCTTGTACAGCAACACTCTTACCCACTGAGCCATCTTCTCAACCCTGCTTATTTTTATTTGTAAGTATTTTTCTCCTGATTTCAATAAAGTTAGATGAGCATCATAAGAAGTATTTTCTCTGCACAGGCAGGATGAGAAAAATATATATCTTTAAGATGTATTTATATAAATGGCTATTTTTAATATTCTTGTTTTGTTTTAGTGTGTGTTGTACATGGCACATGTGTGTTAACGTGGTTGTATGTACACACATGCATGTGGAGGCCAGATGAGGACATCTGCTGTCTTCCTCTATCAAAACTACTTTGAGACAGAGCATCTCAGAAGCTCACCATTTTGGCTAGGGTGGGTAGCCAATGAGCTCTCAAGATTCACCTGCCCTACCACATACTAGGTTCACAAACACGCAGGGCCATGCCTGGGTTTCTACATTTGTGCCAGGGATTTGAATTCAAGCCCCCAGATTGTGTAGACTGAACCTTGGTTCTGTTAAAAGCAGAAAGCACTCCTGGGTGTGGAGAGATGGCTCAGTGGTTAAGAGCACACATTGCTCTTCAAGGAACCCCTCCTTAGTTCCCAGCACCCACGTGGTAGCACACAACCATCTGTAACTCCAGTTTCAGGGATTCTAATTCCCTGTTCTGGCCTCTGTGAATACCTGGCATGCATGTGGTGCACATATGTATGCAAGCAAAATGGAACTAAATAAATCTTTAAAAAGCAAAACCATCAGAGAGCAATCTTAATCACTGAACATCTCCCCAACTTCTACCAAAAATTTGTTTTTGTCATTCAGACTTTATGTTGTAAGTCTCCTTTTTTTCTGATAATAGGCTCTAGGCTGCACTGTAGATTTATGATCTAGCTATATGAATAAAAGTGTCTTTACTGGCTAATTCAGGTGCAGATTATGTTCCTAGAATATGAAACCTGACTATAACTTTATCTGGCATTTCTCTGCTTACTTTCCTTCCTTTCAATGTGAAGAAATTGAGACTCTATGCTGTCAAACTGCCAAATGACTTATTCAGCATGTAAACCGATATGTTTGTCAAGCATTGTGAAATATGCTTAAGATAATTAACTAGTTCATGTCTTGAGGTGCCTGAGCTGAAAGGGAGTTCTCTGAGCTTTGTCCTTTGTGAAATTCCATAGACCTAGGGCAGGGTTTAGGTTTTGTTTTCCTGTATAATTATAGAAGAGCAGATAGCTTTTGATTTTCAAGGTGGCCACCAGAATTCTTTGTTTCCTTTCTGCAGAAGTTAGAAGAGAGCCTTGAATCAGCACAATTCTTTTAGGTTTTTCTAAAATAAACACAGTGCTATTTAGCAACAGGACTGAGTTGGGAAATGAAGAGTGGTAACATTATAGAGTATAAGAGTGCTGGCTTTCGTAACGCAGGAAGTCCATTTCAAAGTTCGTAACACAATAACTCAAACTGCTCAACTTTTTCCTTTATCTTGTTTTGGTCATACCTGGATAGGTTCCTTTAAGAAATAAAAATCTCTTGAAATGAAATTTGAAGTTTTCAAATTTCCGTTCTTTTTCTTTATGTTAAACTTGTTAAGGTTTTTTTTTTAAACTAATAATAAAAGTAAAGTCTAAGGGGAATGTCTATGTACTATGAAGTTTAACTAGCTTTATCTTGAGATAGCTTTCAACTGGCTATTAGGCTATAATAGAAACTGGACATCTAATGAACTGTAGGACACCAGCTGCCTCACATGGATTTTCGTGCCTATAAACTGTCTTTTTTTTTTTTTTTTTAATTCAGTAGCTGCCCCTTATGCAACTGCTGTCTTAATCGGGGATTGCAACTCCATAGCTACCAGCAGCCTTTCTGCCACCAAAGAGCCTGGCACACTATTAACACCCCTTCATCATGGGTGGACAGTGTTTAGAACTGGGCTTGGGTAGGCCTTGAAAGTAAATTGAATGAGCTAGTGGCTTTTGCTCCTGGTGTAACTACTCCCATTACATTGTCATCTACACTTAAGCCAAATAGGCTTCCTCAGTTTCATTTCTGCTGCTTTGATAAAATACCATGACAAAAAGTAATTTAGAGGATAAGGACTTTACTCAGTTTTTAATTCTGTTTACTGTCCATCATTGCTGGTCAGATCACATCCACTGTCTGGCACAAAAAGAAATGAAGTAATGCATACATGCTCTACTTGTCCTCAAAACCCTCTCTACATGTGTGCAACCCAACATTCCCTGCCTAAGGAATGGTGCTGCCCATAGTTGGCTAGGCTTTTCACATTAATTAACAACCAAGATAATTCTCTATAGACAGCCCACAGGCCAACCTGATCTAAAGATTGAGACTTTGGGACTCTTTTTCCAGTGGATGCTGGGTTGTGTTAGTTGATAATTAGAATTAACCATCACACAGGGTGATCTCTATGGCCTGGTGACTGGAAAAAAAAAACATGAGCCTGGTTTATGGTTTTGTATGAAAGCTGAAGATGAACACTTGCAGTACAGTATCTCTGCCAGTGTGTTGAAGCAGGATATCTCATTGCCCATTTTTCCCAAAGGAAAAGATGGTCTGAAGAAGAATAAAATTTGCTGAGTAACTCATGTGAAGGAGTTAATGATTTAACAGAACAGTCAAGGGGCTGATAACAAATTGGGGGAAAATGTGTCTTCTCTGTGGAAATGGGTGTGTACTGTGTATGTACCTGGTGCTTGTAGAGGCCAGAAGAGGGTGTTGGATCCTTTGGAACTGTAGTTAAAGATGATTGTGAGCCTCCATGTAGGTGCTGGGAACCAAATTTGGTTCTTCTGTAAGAGCAGCAAGTGCCCTTAACCAGTGAGTCATCTCTAACCCCAGATGTTTTCTTAACTGGAGTCTTACCTAGTTATGTCACCCTTCCCTAGAAATCTGTCCTCCAAATCTCTCTCTCTCTCTCTCTCTCTCTCTCTCTCTCTCTCTCATTCTCACACCTAAGCTTCCATTTCCTTTTTTCCCTTTTTCTCTTTCCTTATCCATTTTTCATCTGTGCTCTCTGTTGACCACCTCATTTTTTTCTCATTTCACTACATGATTCCAATTTCATTCCAGTGTAACATTTGCTTCTACTCAAGTTACCATGGAGCTTTGAACAGTGGCAGTATTGTAGCCAATGAGGTTTATCCAAGGTACGATTATTGCTAATTGAAAACTCAAGTCACCATGATGCCAACACCTGCCCCACAACAAAACAGTTTAACATCTCACAGCTCATGACTGATTCTATGTACTGTGTCTTCATTCTAAGTCATTGACAGACTGATATGTCTGCTTGGGTTAATGTCAACCTTTAGTTGGATCTCTAAGAAAGACAGAGGTCATGTGTTAGCTAGAGATTCCCCTCTTCTGAGTTGTGGATGGAGAGTTTTTTATAAAAGAAATACTTGAATAAGAAGTATGAAGAATGTAAATGAAATACACGATATAGTCTTTGTCATTAGGGAATTTAATAGTACAGGCTCAGAGCCTTCTATGCCTCAGTGTTCTGCTTCTGACTCCTTTTGAGTATCTGTACATGAACATCATGGTGATCATAGAAGGCGTTGGCCCAGGGCAGTCTTACAACAACAAAGTCCCAACTTACCAAGAACTGAACTTTCTTGCCTATTTACTAAATATAATATAGTAGATTACAACATTTATGGAGCGCTTGCACTATCTCCAATGCTTGACATCTATTTTATTATCTTGATAACCCTATTGAGAAGTTATTATCACTCTTTGACCCAAGAGAAATTAAGACTATTTGTACAGAATTGCAATCAGAGTGGAGTCTGTTACTCTAAAGTCTATGTTCTTGCCAGGAAGGGGACAAAGCTACCTATCTGAATGGAGCGAGAACAAGCATGGCTTTAGTTCAGATTAAGGAGCTGCTGCCCTAGGAAGGCATCTGAGCTATGAAGACATCGACTATGCTAAAGGTGGGAGGGGCTGACTGCTTGTTTGCTTTAAGTTCAGCCTAGGGAACTGGTTACCTGGCCTTACTCAGGCTACACATTGCAACCTAAATCTATGTATCTTTGCACAGGCTTCGTATTTTCTCAGGGATCACAGAAGACCTGACAAACCATCCCCTCTTTCTGTACCAAGTATTTCTGTCACCCCCAAAGAGCACTCTACTATATAGTCTGCGGAAGAAATAAAAAGGTCAACAAGTCAGAACAAAACTCATATGGTTGACGTTTTGGAAAGTGTATTGAGGACAAAAGGGGGGGTGATGGTTCTTCTAGTCTCAGACTGAAATCATGTAAAGGACTTTTGTAACTTGAATAGATGTGAAGATAGCTCTGTCTCACCGGCAAGAAGCTCTGTGTCGTGTGTGTGTGTGTGTGTGTGTGTGTGTGTGTGTGTGTGTGTGTGTGTGTGTGAGACATGAATTCCAGATACACATTAGAATGGCTTACAGGCTGTGATCCAGCTAGTACAACAATGGCCGTTTATAAAAGAAAGGTCCAAGAATCCCCAGTTCAGTGCATGAGGCTGGATGTCCCTGCTGGTCTTCAGTTTATGTCAGAATTCCAAAGAAGTAGCTCCAATGCCAGTGAAGGAATGAACTTGCTAAAGAGAGCAAGAGCAAACAGACAAAGAGAGCAAGCTTCTTTCTTCCGTGTCCTTGAGATAGGCTGCTACCTGGAGGCGTGGCTTAGATTAAAGATGGCTCTTCCCACCTCAAAGATCCTGGGTTGTTAAAGTGGGTCTTCCCACTTCAAATAATTTAATGAAGAATAAAATGCCTCACAAGTGTACCCAGCCTCTAGGGTTTTAGTTAATTCCAGATACAGTCAAGTTGATAACTAAGAATAGCCATCACATGTGTCCAGCCTTCCAGCACTCCTTGTTGCTAAAGCAAAACCGAACAACCCTGGCCATAATCCTACAAATACAGGAAGAGGTCTAGATGGGAAGAAGAGCTCTATGTATTTTTTTAAGCGCAATGAAGTTAGAAAGAAGCAGCTTCATCTTTTCAGAGTTTACTTCAATGGCCTGCCAGATGGCTCTAGAGCAGTTCATCTATGAGCAGTTCTAGAGCAGTTCATCTATGTCTAGTCGGTGCCCACAAATGTCCTCAACACACTACCCAGTGCCCATGAGTTTTCACTTTTCTAATCTAGCTTGCAAGAAAATACAGTCTTTTGCCTTTTGTTAGTGCTGGACTGAATTCCCTTGCATGCTTTCAAATAATTCTTTCCGTGTTTTCGGTGGTCTCCTCACATGCACGCACCTAGTGTTCTTAGAAATACACAACTGGGACTTGATGCAGATTGCTAGGAGTCTATCTTAACGATGTTCTCTTCACTCTGGTGCTCTGGCCCATGAATTCCAGATACACGAGTATCTTTGAACTCCTTCTTTTCAGTGCACCCACTGGGCTAATTTAGGTTCTCTCTCCTTACCTCTTTTAAGATAGTAAACTTGGGAATTTGTATGGCTTATTTCTGTTACTCTCCATCTCAGGGAATACTTCCTGTTGCCTGGAATCCAGCGTCTTTAAACTCAGTTGCAAGGATTCTATCTAGTTGGTTTGTCTGAGGCAAGATGGTAAATTCCACTCCTGCTCTCCCATCTTTGCCAGAAGCCAAAGATTCTACTTACATTTGGAAATGTATTCTGGAAGTTGACAGGTCTGTATTGATTAATGACCCTGCAATAGGAGTATCAGTTATTAAAGCTATCTCAGAATAAAACCTAGTGTAGACAGAAAAAAAAAACAACTTAGGAAGAGACATGAGGAAATATGTGAAAGGGTCTTGTGGGATAAGCCATGTTTTTTGGTTAAGTACTCACGATAATGATCTTGATTCTATTGTGAAATGGTCTTTAATCTATGGCCATATCTAGCTGATGCATTTTTGACATTTTGGTTGATTTAAATTTTTCTTCACATGTTAATATTCACTCTGTGTGACTTTCTGAGGTTTGAAAATATTTCTATTTAGTCTTTGAAAATGTCCTTTATATATACAACGTATCTTGATTCATATCTGTGCCCCCACAACTTTTCTAGCTTCCCTCAGAACCCCCAGCACATACACTTCCCAGCTTCATGCCCTGTTGGTTTATTATTAACCACTGAGTCCAATTCTGATGCCTTTATGGACTGGGGTTGTGAGGTTTGACTATGCATAGATCTCAGTTTCTGAATTCTAGCACATTTAGGGTCAGATAGCGCTTTGCTGTGGAGAAAGGGGCCTCCATTCCACCCCAGACCTCTACTCAGTAGACACCCAAAGCACCCCCAGTTGTGATAAACAAAATGTCTGAGACATTGCAGAATCGTTGTATAGAGACTTGGTTGTGACAGTCGGCATTCCTTTCCCATCGCACACAGCAGTTCCATCAGCTGAAGCATGTTTTTGTGCTTCTCTGTTATAATCAGCAGATCTCCTGTCTCAGAGCCCGAGTGACCACTGTTCTTCATCCTTACAGTTCTGCCTTTTCCAGCACTCAAAGGAATAAACTAAATAGCATGTGACCTTTGGGTATGGCTTCTTTAGCTACTATTCATCTATTTGTCATGAGTACATGCTTTCTTATGAAGAGCAGTTCCTTGTTTCTTCTCGTCTGTTCTGTTGTACAGGTCATTGTTTCAACTGACGTAGGACAACTTGGGTGAATACAACAAAAGTTGCTATAAACATATATGTGCAGGTTTTACTTTGAACATGAGTTTCCCATCCCTTGAGAAAACATCTAGGCAATTTATGGGTTGTATTAATGTATGAATATGAATGTGCTTAATTATCTATAAAGCTTAACTTTGTAAGAAACTGCCATACGGTTCCTTTTTTTTTAAGAGGCTACACTGCTTTGCACTTCTGCAGGCAATGAAGCAACATTGCTGTTGCTCTCCGTCCTCTCAGCAACTGACACTGAATTTTTGGTTTTGTTTTCTAAATGTTTTCATAGATGTGTAGCGATCTTTAACTGTGGGATTAAGTGTCCATTTAGCTAATTTGGCCATTTTTCAGTTGTATGTATGCACAGTTTATACTGAAGAGGGTAACAAGCAAGCCACAGAGACTTGTGATGATTTAAATGTGATCACATTTAAAATATAAAACCAAACTATATTATCTGGCATTTAAACCCCTGTTAAATCTATACTCAACAATGCTTATATGTTAATATATTTTCATATAAAACTATAGTGCAATACCAAAGTTAGGATATTGACATTGATACAGTGAAGAAGACCGTTTCTAACATCACTGGATCTCTTATAGTATCATAACACAGCATCTGCTTCCTTCTTGCCCACCAATTTCTTACAGTTCCTTAAGCCCTAACAGCCTCTAGTTTGCTCTGTTTCTGTTTTCAGCATTTGAAATGTTGTATAAATGACATAATTGTTAAGTATCCTCTAGAGGTACTTACCACACCAAATAACTCTCTTGAGATGCATTCAGGTTGTGGTGTGTAACAACGGTTGATTACTTTTTTATTGCTAAGTATAGATGTGAGGTAATTCATTTAACTGTTTATGCTCTGAAGAATATATGGGTATGTCTAAGGTTTGGATCTGGTAACCAAAGCTGTAAAGCTGCTGCGAAGCATTTCTGCACAGATTTCCCGATTTCCCTTGTACTGTGATGAATACAAAAGGAGCAACTGTTAGATCATGTATATTTATGGATCTCTCTCTCTCTCTCTCTCTCTCTCTCTCTCTCTCTCTCTCTCTCCTCTTTCTCTCTCTCTCTTTGTTTGTGTGTGTATACATTTAGCTTTCAAAAACTGCCAAACTAGTACTAGTATAACATTTAAAGTATAATTTTTATCAGTTTACATTGTCACCAGCAGTTGCAAAAATGGTAGTTTCTCTAAATCTTTACCATAATTTAGAATTAATGTTCCTGCTAGTTTATCTATTTATTTTTTCTTATTTATTATTTACTTGCTTTTTTTGTATGTTTTAGGAATGGTGAGTATTGAACTCAAGTCCTCTGTGGTGGCTATTCTAGGTTACCAACTTGACACACCTGGGAAGAGGGCACCTCAGTTGAGGACTAGCATGTATGTGGGACATTTACTTGATTGCTAATTGATGAGGAGGGTCTAGCCTACTATCATCCTCTGGGCGGATGATAACTGGGCTGTGTAAAGAAGCTAGCTGAGCAGAAGTCGGAAGCAAGCCAGGAAAAAGTGGTCCTTGGTAGTCTCTGTTTTAGTTCCTGCCTCCCGATTCCTGCCCTGACTTCTCTACATGATGGACTATAACCTGTAA